CTCCATATCGCAGAGCTTGAGGGGGTGTGGTTGCGTACTTCGTTTGGATACAGCCTAGGATGCCTCTTTTCGTTGGATCTATCCATTTGTTAATCCTTGAGCCTGAGCTGGAATATAGGTGGCAATTGCCCAAAATGAGGAGCCCAACCAGAAGAGCAATCACCGTCTTGTTCACATGAAGTTCGTAGCCACGCCCTGCCCATCTTGTGGTATGTAGTTCAGGGCATGTCAGTCTGTATCCTGTAATGACGATTTCTTTGCCCTACCCAAAAAATTCGACAATCGATAATTTGCATTCTTACGTTTCGAGTTCTCAAGGCTGCAGTTGGGTTTCTGAGAAGGCCAGCAACTACAGTCTTGTTCACAGCGTTTGCTGGGGCGTGTCGGGGGCGAGGTTTGGCGCGACATCAACCCGCTCGCACCAATTGTATCGGCGAGCAAGCGGCAACAGTTGGTGAAAGACGGAGTGGCGCCGCGCGAATTCCCGCCCCCAGCGACGTCCCGGTATCCGCAGCTTTAACTGTAAACGTCATAGGACCAGGGTTGCCATGATATAATTTATTTGACGGCAAGGTGATGGCCGGGTCAACTAGCTTGGACTATTCGCTGGGCCGCGCGCGATGCCGCAGCACGGATCTCCTGAACTGCGCGCGATCCTTCCAAGATTATAGCTTTTGCTCCTTTTCTTGACTAAATAGAGTATTTCTCAGGTTCTCGGCTCTGTGTCGCGTACGCCAGCTGATCCATGGGCGTCGCGATGTGGCGGTTGGACGATGCCGCCGTTCGACAAGCCGACGACGACGACCACAACGTCGTCGTTCATGGAAGACGACGACAATTCATCCATGCTTCTCAAGGACCTTGAGAAGATCTGGGCGACGCCAGTTGGAGGATTGAACGCGTGAGCAGAGAAAGAGGACAACGATCAGAAAACGGAGGCGCCATGGCTGATGTGTAGCCATGTGCCTCATGTCCAAACTTCACCAGTGTGTTAAAGCCTATATACACAGACAGCTCTTTGTTTTAATTCCTCAAGACCCCTCCCCTTTTTGCTTCCCACTCCCCGCCTGCTCCTTTACACACTTTTGACTCACTGAAGCTTGCTCCTTGTGTGTAGCGTGATCGTGTACTGTCTCGTGCTTTTTGGCGCGCGTATATGTAAATGTACATAGTTATATCTAGGAGACAAGTGCATTAGATCACATTATTCATCTTCACCATATGAAAATTCCATTTTGAATTATTTTTTCGTCATCCCCGTACTCTTAAAGGCAGTGGGCACGACTACTGGAGACGGGTGGTTGTTACCAGCGTCACTGGTGGAAGGGCTGAATGGGTGTAGTCAAACGCTATCTTCGACCAATGACGTTGGCGACAACCGCCCGCCCCCAGCAGTCGTGCCCATTGCCTTTAAGTTCTCCTCCCATAGTTTCTTCGCCTTTTTTTCGGTTTAGCGTGATTTTTGAGACAATGGCGGTGCACGTGCAGCTTTGAATCCGCTTAGACGTGACTGCCATGAGAATTTAGAGTTCAGATGATATGTAATCCTAGGACTTATATCTCCTGCACTTCCGAAGCGTTCTTTCTTCGTTGGACTGTATTCGAGGTTCGCGATGATGTATTAATGTGTTTTCTTTTTTTATTCAGCTGTCTCTCTTTGGCTGTCTTTTTTCCTTCCTTCCTTACTTTCTCGTGTTGGAGTTACATATCTGTCGCGTGTTCTTCATTCATTCATCCAATTCATTCATTCATTTTGTTTGCGTAGGAACTACTGGTGTAAGAGGCGTGCCACATTTGAAAGCTAGTAAAGTACCTAGGATGTACTGCCAGTTGGCGGAGGGTCAAGACAATCGTAATTTGCGTCGCGCGCGGCATGTCGCGCGGCAGTGCGCGGCACGTCGAGGTGCGTCGGTTTATCGATTCGAGCAGCGACATGATGGGTGATATTGAATTGTCCCGCTTTTTTAGCACTTAACTTTGAAAGAGAAGCGGGAAAACTCGTCCTTACGGCGCGACGTCGCGCGCCACGCCCATAAACGCGGCGGATTACGATTGTCTTGTCACACACCTCTGCCAGCTAAGGCCGTCTGCTTTGTTGAAGAAATGTGTAGCGCGCCTTGAGACTTAGCCTTGCATCACTTTGCCACATTCTTCTATATATAGTTTCTAGGTTATATCCCCTTTATTTTCCGTTTTTTTTTTGAATTTTTCTTCCTTTTAGTATATTTTCTTCCAGCTGTCGTCTCAGCTTTATGTGCGTTGTAGATCCGGCGAGAAATTCTTTGCTCTCCCTGACAAATAGATAGTTGGTATAGCTAGGATCTGTACAGTAGAGA